CAAGGGAAGCCTTTGTCGACTGCTCCGGTATGCCTCGTGAAATGAGGTTTACCAGAGCAGTCGACAAAGGCTTCCCTTGTCGACTGTGGCACGTCCAGGCTGTGCCACCCAACAGCTGATTGGCACAGCTCGGTGGCCATTTTGATGTAAATGAAGTGGCGATTATTTAAATCGATGCTTCATTTTCCTATGGCTAAACTCATCTACATGGCTCTGTCGACGGAGCCATGTAGTCTAGCCATACCCTAATAGATTAGTAAGACATGATTTCCCTTTATAGAAACCAGGTTGACTTTTGCTCACCAAATTATTTTCTTCTATGTGTCTGACAATTCTATTCTTTACTATTGTTTCAGCTAATTTGCCCATTCTCTCCTCACATGCACGTCTTTTTTCCCTGCCATCTTTTTGCCACCTAGATTTCTTTGTGGGGATTTTTTTCACGGTGCTAACCATCCTGCTGCCACATGTAAAACGCTGGACCTAAAAACTGCACCATAGAAATAAACAGGGCAAGTATTTGCCAAAACAAAAGTCACATGAAAGGGGCAGGGAAGAGTGTGGGAGGAATACAAACAGGAAGGCACTGGCATCCAGTTGGAAAATGCTCATCCTGCCCCTGGGTCTCTCCAAGGCTACCAGTTAGGCATACAGAGCTGATTCAAACCAGTGCTCAGTGGCACGAGCTTCCTTACCTTATACCAGTTCCCTTAAGCCCTCCAATTCCTTCCCCCATTTCTAGTTTTAAAATACTGCAAAGTATTTGGGGCCCACTTCAGACACGATGCTCACACACATTTTTTTAAAAAACAGGACTTTGAAATGAAGACAGAAATTATGCACAACCAATGTTAAAGATGCAATATTTCAGTGTCACCTTCCTAACGGCATGTTACATGGATTTGTGATTTGTGGCCTCATTATTTTCTAGGGCCTAATTATAGATGCTGAAATAAATGTATTAAAACAATTACTACAATGGCATCATTTGTTAAGAAAATTTGGGGGATAAAATAGTCATGTAATTCAGTTTGCAGTCAGAGCAGGTTTTTCCTGAGCAATGTGTCCAGGATTTAGCTGGGCTTTTACTGTTGCTGTACAGAAATCATGTGCCTCCCTGAATAAGTACACACAACACTAGCAATGCCAGTTGTGAAATAGGAAATATGATTTATTGCTAGCAGAGAATAAACAATGTGGAATAGCTTCTTTGGCTTACAAAAGCTGATCAAAATATCTTATCAGGTAGCGTTTTCCTTGGAATTCTCTATAATACTTTTTGACTGCTTTCTACCCTCTCTTTCTCAGGTTTAGTTAGATAAAAAATATTAGAGAATGACCCAAAGGTCATTGTAGTTAATAGAAAGAGGCCTTGATTTCACTGGCCTTTGGATCAGACCGTGAAGGTTTTTATCTGAATATTATTCACACAAAAAGACACAGGCTGTGTCTAGACTGCATCCCTTTTCCGTAAAAGGGATGCAAATTAGACACGTTGCAATTGCAAAGGAAGCGGGGATTTAAATCCCCCCATGCTTCATTTGCATAAACATGGCTGCCGCTTTTTTCAGGCTCGGAGCTTTGCCGGAAAAAAGCGCCAGTCTAGATGCGGATCTTTCGGAAAATAAAGCCTTTTTCGAAAGATCCCTTATTCCTTATTTTAAGGAATTTTTAAGAGGAATAAGGGATCTTTCAGAAAAGGCTTTATTTTCCAAAAGATCCGCGTCTAGACTGGCGCTTTTTTCCGGCAAAGCTCCAAGTCGGAAAAAAGCGGCAGCCATGTTTATGCAAATGAAGTGGGGGGGATTTAAATCTCCGCTTCATTTGCAATCGCAATGTGTCTAATTTGCATCCCATTTACGGAAAAGGGATGCAGTCTAGACACAGCCACACAGTTTGTTTACTTTGTATTAGCTGTTCCAGTAGGAATGTAGGTTTGAAGTCACTCCATGATCGCTCTATGATGCTGAGGTTCATTTTGACCCCTCAATCCTACTTCCAGAGAAGTCGTGGTAGCACTTCTATTAACTGAATTGGAAGCGGGAACAGGCTCCTTGTCAGCAAATGCGGTTCTCAAATGAGGTGCCAGGAAAAGCCCCCCAAAATCAAAATATTTGAACCTTGTTTTGGAAACAGAGAATTGAACTTTAGGTAAGAAGTCAGTCTAGGTTCTGGTTACCATTAAAAGTATGTCCACACTGTAGTCTAAGGTGTGATTAAAGCTCGGCTAGCCAGAGTTGCAGTCACCCGACTAAAAATATCACTTTAGATACGAGAGTGTGAGCTGTACAGGTCTGCTTAGAGCCCTAGTACCAGCATGTGTTGCTACAGCACATGTGCCTGCACTGCTATCCTTAGCCATATTAGCGCATGCCTATAAAGCTGCTGTGCACAAATCAGACTGAGCTGTTTGCAGTGTTATTGTAGCTGTGTTGGCCCCAGTGTATTAGAGCGACAAGGTGGGTGAGGTAATAACTTTTATTGGGCCAGCTTTTGAAGGCAGACCTCAGACTGGAGTGTGCCTCTGGTTCTGATCCTGCAAAGTCTTAGGCAAAGGAGTAACAATTGTACACAGTAATAATTTTAATGAGCACATTTGAAATACTCCAATGGATAAAGTTATTTGTTGATGTGTCTGTTGGATCAGAGACATTGTTTTATCCTTCAGATGTCTTTAATTTCTTAGGTTAATGCTCAAAGGAGGGGAAGTAATGAGGGAAACAGCTCATTAAAAAATTCCAGAGTAACATTTTTTGATAAAATTAATTTTAAGAGAAAAAATTAGAGGTATTGAAAACAATTAGCTAATTTTATAGAGCATTAAAGTAATATAGAAAAATGATAGGGAAGAAACTCCTAGCATGCTAAAGGCAAGATTCATAATATAACAGCTAAACATATAAACAGGAAAAATAAAAGGGAGAAGAGGTAGAAAGAGGCAGAAAGAAGAAAGGCAAAGAAGCTAAAGAAATCATAGCCAGAAGATTTTTTTACTGATGTTTTGTAAACATTGTGAAATGATGATGACTAAAAGCATCCAACTTTTAGAATGCTCTATGACAGGTGGCAAATGTGTATAACTTGATTAGTAAGCCTCAGAAAAAGTAAAACATTTAAACAAAATGTAAAATTGTCTAATCAAACTTTTTTTAAAGATTGAAGTGTTTTTATTCTTTTCTACTTAATAGAATTGTGCTGACCATTCCCTAACATACAATGTCCTCTTGCACAATATTCAAAAGCACAGATAACTTCCTGTAAGTTGGAGATTTTCTATGCTGCCGATTCTGATCTTGTTTACACTGATATAAATCAGGGAAAAAGTCAGGCAGATCAGAATCTGCTTATTACTTTAAAATTCACATTTGCAGGCATGCACTTTTATAAAATATAAATACTTACTTTCTTTATTTTTCTGCTGGAAAAGTTGCCAGTCCAGTGAAAGATTTTTGAAGTGGAGCAGAAGGCATAGGCACCACAGGAGCAGATAGCACAGATGGTATCTGAAGTTCTTGACCAACTTCCCCAAATCAACCACTAGAAACAGAAGCTGGCTTGTGGTTTGCTACAGTCCATGTGGGAAGAAGAGAAGCCACACCAATTTTGTTAGTATAATTTGTTGAGCCATGTGACACAAGAATATGCTGATGATAAGATGAAATGACAAAACAAGGCTAATAATAGCATGGCTGAACAATCATTTTGTAAGCCAGGGAAAGTCCATATCACAGTACAGAAAGTGGGTAAATTATTTGAAAAGATAAATCATAAATGAGAGGGAAACATCAGAAAAGTTGAGATTTGCTCAGACTGCATACCACCAGCATTATTCTTTTCTGTGTCTTTTGGTCTTTACACAATGATATTTGTGGGTGGAAGCCACATAGGCACAGTGAGATCTAGTTTACCATGTTTACTAATGATACCCAACATGCAAGGCCCAATTAACTTATACAGATTGCTGCTTTGGCTAGTTTCTAAGATGTACAATACAGTGAGGTCACCAGATGGTGACCAAACTACTGTTCTCTTCAAGGGCAGCTTTGAAAATGTTATAGTTAAATACATCCTCAGATGAAGAGCATAGCTTTCATATAGTAAGATGGCATGTGAGTGCATGTAAGATAGCTTTGCAAAGCAGTTGTGACATACATACCACAATGTACTTATTGATATGATATCACCTGAATGGCTGGAAGAGGTATGATTTGTGTCCCCATCAACTTGGCATGACTGAGGATCCCAGCAGGTCCTTCTCTTCCCTCTTCTTCATGTCCCTCCTCCCCCAATATATCAAGGGAAGGAAAAGATCCTAGAGACTTCAAAGTGACTAGGTCTTTGGCTGAGCACTTGTGATGTAAGGAGCTTATGTAATAAGCAAAAGACTAACTTAGGTCATTTCAAGCTCAACTCCTACTAGGAGGCATACTTTATCTTGGGGCTAGACTGCATTTTTAAGAGGTCTTGACATCTCCTCCCCATACTGAAGTCAGGACCTATCATGGTGAAAGATGAGCTTTAATTATCAACTGGGATGCTGCTGAAACATTATCCTACTCAGTTGCACTTACAGGCAGAGCTGAATTTTAAGGCAACTTGTTGTGAACAAACCGTGACAGACTGACACTTAGATCATAGAATCATAGAATACTAGGACTGGAAGGGACCTCGAGAGGTCATTGAGTCCAGTCCCCTGCCTTCATTGCAGGACCAAATACAGTAAACTTCCGATAATCTGGCACCTTTGGTACCCAGGGGGTGCCGGATTATCAGATTTGCTGGACTATCAGAAGGGGGGGCTATGAGGGGCCTAGGGTGGGGTGGAGGGGGGATGCCACCCCAGACCCCTCATAGCACCCCTTTCTGATAGTCCAGCTCTGCCCCACGTGACCGCGATTCAGCCGCTGCTCGTGAAGTTCATCAG